ATATCTATATATATTTATATAAAATATATGAAGGAGAAATACACACCCCCACACCATTGACCCACATCCCCAGCCCTAATTTGTATTTTATTTAGAGACAGGGTCTCAGAGTTACTTAGCAGCCCCACCATTGCTGAGATTGGCTTTGAACTCCTGACTTCAGGCTCCCAAGCCCCTGGGATTACAGGTGTGCACCCACCGCACCAGCATTGCCTTTTCTCCACCTCCGATCTCTCATGCGAGTGAGAGACTATGGGAGATGGTGGTGTCCAGGCACATCTTGCAAGAGCGCTTTCGCAAAGAAAAGCTGGTAGTCCACAGGGTTGTGTGAGGTCCAGGGAGCCTGGATCCTCTCTGGGTCACTTTCTGCCCCTGGAGGCAGGCTCAGTGCTGCTTCCTGGCTGCCTACTTTTTTGTGCTTGACTGTCCCATAGGAACTATCTTAAGTAACAAACCGATCCTGCCTGCTTGTAGACTAGACTTTTTCTTGGGATGTAACTGGGGCCCTAGTATCTGCCTTCCTCTTGAGCGCTCTTTTCTGCCCTGCCCCAAGTTTGCAGAATTTCCTTTCTTGTCCAGCTTTGATTTCATTGATGGGATTAGGCACCCCCCATGGCCATGTGCTTTGATGTGGTCAGGGGGTAGCAGGGAGATTTCAGGCCCAGGGAGCAAATCTTAATCTTTTGCTGGCTTCTCTGGGATCTGTGCCTGGGTAAACCCATTACATCCCTGCCCTTTCATCCCCCCAGGACACCGGCTCCTCCAGACTCCTGCGTCTCACTGATCCTAAGGGTTTGTCAGATTTGAAGAGAGCAATAAAAGGGGAAGAGAAAGCAGAGCAAGAACTCCAGCCCCCCTCCAGCACTGGCAGCATCACCAGCAATGTCAGAGCATCTTCCTCTGTTTTCCCTTCTAATCCTGAGCTCCCACAAAACGAGGATTACAGAGGCCTGGGGTCAGCACCAGTCTCCTTCCGGCTACTGAGTGCCTCTGTGCCCCATCCTTCTCAGAGCTGTGTTCTGGAAGCAGCTGCTCCTGAGCATTTGTCTATGCTGCTGGGGATCCCAGTGCACCCCTCAGGGGAGGGAACAGAAGTTACTCAGCTCCCACAGCAGTGAGGATTTAAGGCAAGATTTAGGTTAGTGAGGCCAGGAAAGAAGAGAAGAGAAGAACATAGCTATAACCCCAGCCCTTGACATAGATTTTTGACTTAGTGGCCTAGCATGTGTGAGGCGCTGAGTTCGATCCTCAGCACCACATAAAAATGTGTCTGTCTACAACTAAAAAGTTTTTAAAAATCTGTGTCGGGCTGGGGCTGTAGCTCAGCGGTAGCGCACTTGCCTGGCATGTGTGAGGCACTGGCTTTGATTCTCGGCACCACATATAAATAAAGGTCCATCATGCTAATTTTTTTTTTAATCGATGTCAAGTCACGGCTATATCACAATATTTTCTCTAATGACTCTAAGGCTCTGCCTGAAAGTAGGAAGAGAAACTCGATCTCAGAAGTCCTTTGGGTTACCCCATCACTTTCTTCTCTAGTCCGTGGAATCCAGGTCCACTTGAGGCTGTGTATTTTGAAGCCTACGGAGGGTCCAGATGGGTCCTAGATACATTCGCTGTTAGTCACTCACTTGGTGCTGTCTCCCGAATGGGACAGCAGGTTCTCCACCAACCGGGATTCTACTGCCCTCTGATCCCTCTCTTCTTGGAAAAGCTGCGCTTCAGCCTCGCAGCTTTTTCATCCTTTCCCTCCCCCCGCAGTTCCCCTAAAAGAACTCGGCTTTTCAAAAAGCACAGCCAGGAAGAGAGGTCATCTGCAGGCAGCTGGAACTGGGAGTTGAAAATACAAAATTGCCTCAAGAAAACCTGCTGGGCGTTGCGCCTGGCGCTCGACATGTCCTTGATTGGCCACAACCGCCCTGAAAGAACTCCCCGGCCGTCCGTAACCTTTATTACGGCCGCGGCGAGCTCCGCCGCGCGCGCCCGGGAGCGGAGCCGAGCGGCCGGCAGGGGGCTCTCCGCGCTGGTCTTTGCGGGAGGAAGCACCAGCAGCGGTTCGGACGGGTCAAAGGAGGAAAAAGGAAAATTACTGGGCTCGGGGGCGGGAAGGGCTGCGTGACTGGAAAGAAGGCACTCGAGACTGTCGAGTCGGGCCGCCGGCGTCCAGACCCGGTCCTCGCGGCGGCTCGGGCAGCCTCGGAGAGGGACAACTAGACTGCCCCCACCCCGCCCGGGTGTCTTCCAGCCGGTGCAGCAGGCTGGAGCGGGCGTCGCGCGGCC